TTGCGCTGGGGAAGCAGCCGTGACCCGTGGGCTGATCGAGACCGTTTCACTTTCACGCGTTCCACTATATCACCTTGAGAGATATGACCGCCATAAAATGCTGCCGAAGGTCAGGTGAATGGAACAGCTGATCAATCTCCAAACGAGGAACGGTGGTCTGTTAGGCTTCAGAGGAGCTCACAGACTTAACAGCTGCGGTAAACCTGTACTAGTCCTGCAGCGAAAGTCCCCAGACGAGCTGGGACGCCTAGAACCACCCTGGCTCCCTTGCTGTCCTTATGGAAGCGGTCTTTACAGCTGGACCCAGAAGTAGCCCTGCATTCACGAGAGCAGCCTAAAGCACCTGATCCCAAAAGCAGTTGAAGAAATGTTCAAGAGGAGCGGCCAGTGAGTGTGAGTCTCAACTAGCAAGTGATGTCGCTGATGGCAAGGCCGATCAAGGGGTGGACCAGACTGAACTTCCTCGTGCTTGCATGTTGCGCAACGTTCATTCATCGAACTTCGTAGCATATCTTGCGAGCGGTCTGGGAAATACTGGCTGGCTTTGAAGATCGCGTGGATCCGATAGGTGTCCACCTGTGAATGACCTCCTGCGCAAGTTGGCATAGCAAGTTATTCCCACCTTCGACGGCCAAGCTATATAAAGAAGCAGTCTAGACGATGGCAAGCAGCTTAGCTCAGCTCGAGCCAGTTCAGTCATGGCACGTGTCCTCGTCGGAATCACCTCCGGTGCTAGCGGTATCGCAATTCTGGCCGCTCTCGTCACCGTTGGCTACCTTTACAACGATATTAACAACTTTTTCGACGACACCATGAAAGACATGGAGGAATTCAAGGTGAGCCTGTCCGCTATGACTCTATACTTCCGTGGATTATCGTCCAGATTTCAGATTATTGCCAATGATGCTTGGACAAAAATGATCTCCACAAACTACGTCGGAGGTCGATCTCCACGTCAGGTGTTTGGAAGAAAAAGAATAGCTGTGAAGAGGCACGATACCGTCGCCAAAGTCCTCGGAAGGCACTTGCAGCAATTGTGGAGCACAACCCAACAATTGCCCAGCTGGACCACCAGGACCACCGGGTACACCTGGAGAGCCCGGAATTGATGGTGAAGATGGGCAACCGGGAATGCCGAATACCGCTCCTGCCTACGACATCCCAACCAAAGAGAAGGATTCATCTTGCATCATGTGTCCTCCAGGAGTGCCCTGGACCACCTGGTCCTGATGGTCCCGAAGGTCCAGCTGGTCCAGATGGCAACGAAGGTGCCCCTGGAGAAGCTGGTGAAGATGAGCAGTCGCTGGTTATACGAATGGACCAGAAGGAGATGCTGGAGAAGTGGGTGAGCCAGGAGCTGATGGACCACCAGGAGCACCCGGTCAAAACGCGATGAATGCGCGAGGTAATCCTGGACCTCCTGGAGAACCAGGACCGGAAGGCCCTGGCTGGTAACCCAGGTGCTGATGGAGAGCCAGGTGCTCCCGGAATAGATGGTGAGGCTGGAGCTGAAGGACTGCAGGAAATCCGCGGATGGGATGGCGGTAACGGGCGTGGACCTTGGAGCACCGAGAACTGCCTGGATGTCCAGGAGAAGACGCGCAATACTGTCCTTGCCCAGATCGGACAATTATGACCTCAGAAGTTAATGGGAAACGGGCACAAAAGAGCGGTTACTCCAAGTAACTGTCTCCTCGGATATTATATTATTTATTTATTTATTTATTTATTTATTACATGTGCAACCCAACTTAAGTGTATTATATGTCAGAATAAATTATTTGTCGGCATTTTAGTTGTCCCCCAGTGAACACCCGAACAAAAATCCCGTCTGACCAGGTTTGAAATCAAAAATGCTCAGAACAAAAGGCTATTGTTTATATTTTGCCATCATGCCGGTGGGCACCAGGTGTGACTTAGCAATAACAACTTCATTGAGACTAGTAAAGAAGGCAAAAACAGCAGAACATAACTGATATTTACAATTACTCGAGTAAAAAGAACACTGGGTAGGGTCTGGACCGGTTCAATACAGTATACCAGTAAAGAGAATGACAACAAATAATCGAAAACAGTAGAAAATCAGGATACTTCCCTAATCTATGACGAAGAGATACCCCACTTTGTAGGTATACCCTTGGATGGCCATCGGCCGCGGTTGTTATCGAGCGTCACGGGACGTTCGGTGATGGCAATCCATTTGTATGGTTGGTATGGCAGCATGGCTGACTGAGATTAAAGGCAAGATTCAAGCTTAAACTGATGAGGTAATTCTACTCAAATGTGATGTAGGGGCGGGAGGTGGACCGCCAGTGGAGAAAAAAGGAAAGAAAATTCGTGAAATACACAGGAAATACGAGCCTTTTGCTCTACGTTGCGGAGAAGTTCAAAAGGCCGGCAGGGAGATGAGAGATAATGTGAGCGCGGAGAGCGGTAGAGAAATCCGAGAAGAGAGAGCATAGCAGATCAGCGACGCAGACAAAATATCGAGCGGTGGGCGGGAGCGTGTGTCGCAACAGGTGGAGCGTGTCAAAGTCCTTGGCCCCTAGCGCCTTAGTGACGCATTTGGATGCGGGAACTTGGCGAGTCGCCTGCAGCTGCGTCCCATGCACTTCTAGCCACTTTAAGGGCTTATTAGGTGGGTCTGAGCCCGAACTTTGCCTTTAACTCAAAAACTTCCGGATACAGTGTACTGGAAAATTTTTTCAAACTCATAGATGCTGGCCCCGGGCTAAGCTTTTCGTGAGCCCTGAGAACTCCCCTGAAACACAAATTTGCTATTCGACAATCAATAATAGAGAGAGCAAATGAAAAAGCTAATAAACCCAAAAGCGCATCCCATCAAGTCGACGGGCGCTCAAAAAAAGGGACAATCTCCAGCACTGTGATTTAGCCCCAAACCTTCTTTCTCCACCTTAATCATTAGGTGATCAACAAGTGTACGAGACAGACAGTCTAACAAGGGGGGGTCCTTCAGGGAATACCACGCTTTTTTTCGAAATTGTTTGCATATTCGCTATGGATGCCAATATAGGGTAAACTAAAACGTGTTACGCTCCTCTGACCGTCTTTAGTAAGGCCGATGTCAGACTTTGCGAATCGCGCGATTCGCTACTAGCGATTCGCGCGATTCGCTAGCGTCCGCGGTCGCGTTGCGGTACCAGCCAATTGAGTGATTCACTGGCCGCGACGCGACCGCAGACGCTAGCGAATCGCGCGATTCGCAAAGTCTGACATCGGCCTACAGCACAAAAAGCGATCTAAGTACTTTAAGTGGTTAATCCCAGCCGTGGCGACCAAATTTGCATTTGGGTTGGCGCCTACGGGTTGGTGCCAAGATCGCGACTGAAATGCAAAATTAGATGTCACATTCATTGTCAGACCATTTTGAAGCCAACAAGTGGCCGCCAACCTTGATTGCAAAATTTAGTCGCCGCGGGGGATCGAACCATCAAGGGTATTACTCATCACTTTTTTGGTACTACTAAAACCGTTCAGCGAAAACGAAACATGGTTTTATGGTCATACATATGCGTCCCTACATATGCAAGAAACC